CAATGCTGCTCTCCTTAGAATCCTATTTCATTCATGTTCCATCAGCGGTGCACAACCCAGACGGTGAATTAATCAACTGGCCCCCTGCAAATCTGCCGAGAATTTCATCCACAAAACAATGCGAACCTGTACAAAAAGTTCTGCTTGTATCGTCCAGGAGAGAGCCCGGGTTCAACCCGTCTAGAGACGCTGACCTGCTCTCGTTGTTTTGCGTGCTGGATGACTTCCTTTCGTTCCAGGTAGGCAGGATGTGGTGTGCTTATCAGGGCCATCCTGAAGAGAGCGTCGCCCTTCTCAGCCAACTGACTTCAATGCATTTCGAAGGGTGTTACCGTGCTCCGGATGGCCGTGTGAGGCGAATTTAGGTTTGCCGTTTGGTTTTTGTTTTTGTTTTAAACAGCCTGAGGTTCTCTAGCTTTGAAGCGGCTGGAAGTCAAGTGTAACCCGTTATTTAGGCCAGGTAAGTTTGCACGTGCTGACCCTCCTCCCCCCCGTTCATCAAAACTCTCAGCTAAAGAAACGTGGCAGCTATAAAACGATTAACGGTGCAATCCTAAAACGGATTAACACCCTTCTAAATCCATTTACTTCAATAGATTAGAAGGATGCAACTCGGATTGTTCTGTAAACCTTTAGCTTGTCTACACGGGGCTACTACTTTCAGCCATCTAGCAAACCCTAACGGAGACCTTTCTTCTCTCAGGGCATTTTCACCGAAAGAGGAAATCTGCAGATAGCTTGCAATCCGGAGTGGTGCAATCCAATTCGACCAGCTCCTTCTTTTGCTTTTGTAAATATGCACAGGATTCAGCGAGACGGTTAGCAAAACGGCTGAGATGATTCTTTTATGTTCTTAGACTCGCTTTATCTGTATGTTCCTGGAGCGTTACGTACTTTCAAAGCACCCAAATTCAAGGCACCCATTAACTCCTCTGATTTCAGTTCTGTTGGGAAAACTTGTGATGGACTTCAGAAGGAGTTCTTTGTGAAAATGGGGGCTATTTTGCATGACACACCCTTCCAACGCGAGTCAGATAAAGAAAGGGCACTTCCTTCACGGAAGCAAGAAGGCTGAAAAGCGAGTGATCGACTATGTCTCTGGAGTTTATTACTTGCTGAAATTGGGGGAGGGGACATTAGAATTCGGGTTACAGTGACTTTACCGGGGGGGGGTGCACGAGTGGAAGAACTACATTTCCCAGCAGGCGGTAAGAGGCGGAAAAGGTGGGAGAGGATTATAACGAGAGCGTTACCTATTCATGCAGGTAAGAGAAAAAGGTGAGCAACAGGTGAAGAAAGCCGGTGAGGAGGAGGAAGGGAGGGGTTCCGGTGTTTTTAAGGGTTCATCTACACTGATGCATGCTTGTGTGGTGTGATTGTTTTTCCCTGGGTCTCTCCAAAGCAAACTTTAGGACAGGTAGATGGAACACAGGAGCTGTGAAGGAGGAAAGTAATGGTGGCTAAACTGTGTTGATCGCGGGAAACGGTTCCCCCTGTGAGCGCCTGGTTGCTTTGAGCAACAACTGTAGAGGAAAGAAGCCGGCAAAGGGAAATGAGGCTGGGGATGGGGAATGGAAAACTTTCCCCTTTGTCTACTGCTGCTGGTGACTCCTGTTTATGTTGTTATTCCCCAGTTGATTTTGAGTTTTAAAAGGAATTTCCCTGAATTTGGGAGAAAATTCTGAGGGGGGGGGGCTTCATGTTCTGCTACAGGGTACCTTCTTGCTGGAAAAAAAATCCAGTAAAAGACGCCCCCTAACTCCCGTCTTGGTGTGGGTGAATTGTCTCATGCTTGCAGTCATCAGAGAAAATAAGGACCTGTTTTGCAGTGAGTTTATTTTGCCTTTTGATCGCCAATAGGGTGTCTGTCAGTATTTTTCTGGGGGCCCACTTGCTTCTTCCCCAAAAGAACACTCTGCTGTCTAGTCACAACCAGCACAGCGACCCCGATCATGAGGTCTTCCAGGCAAGAGAGGAGCAGCGGTGGCTTTGGTTTGCCAGTGCCTTCCTCCACAGAGCAACTACTGCTGTCTTCCTTGGTGGTCTGACATCCAAGTACAGACTGTGACTGATCCTGCTTAGCTCACAAGCTTTGACGAGCTCAGGCCAAATTGGGCTAGAGCCAATCCTGGCTGAGTTTTCCTCCACTTCACTGCAGCAGATGGTGCTGAGGAGTCATCAGGTTTTGGTTCATAGGAGCACCCATTCAGAAATAGCTGCCTCTTTCTTAGGGAAATGGCCTACCTCCCCACATTTTGTGATCGGCCCCTCTTCCCAAAACAACCATTGTCAAAAGTGTCCATAGGCTCGACAACTTTGGAGGCTCTTCCAAGACTGTTCCAATTAACGCTGAACAAGGTGTTGAGGAAGTCTAGCTCCTGAGCCTGCAGCAGGTTTTCTTAAAGCTGGGGGTGCAAAGATTAAACCTTGGATCTTCTGTGTGCAAAGCAAGTGCCCTGAACTAGCCACTGTAGTGCAGTGGTCAAAATGTGGAACCAGGGCTGGGGCAGCCCAGATTCAGATCTCAGCTTTGCTATGCAAGTTCGCTGGGTGACCTTGGGCTAGTCACTCTCTCAGCCTAACCTACCTCACAGGGGGGTCGTCAGGACCAAAAAGTGGAGGGGGAAACAATCTTGTAAGCCGGTTTGGGTTCCCATTAGAAAGAAGAGTAAGGGATAATTAGGAGATCATCTTATACAATTTAAGGGGCTGTGGATCCTATAAAGTTTGACCAAGCATCTTTCTCTTCTTTGACTGCTTCTGCATTTATACTTTCCCCTGGTACTTTTTAAGGGCTGATAATGGCCTGCTACTGTGTAATTGACTTGTGCAATATAAAATATGGTTTGCATACAGGGCACACAGCGGGCACTGCTGGGTATCTTACAGGTACTCCTATATATGTTTACAAAAGGGGAGTAAGAGATACAGCAAGCACAATTTTGCAAAATATGGTCTGCTGATACTGTTGGGTAAATGGGGTTAAGAACATAAGAAGAGCCCTGCTGGATCAGACCAGTGGTCCTTCTAGTCCAGCACCCTGGCTGTCCAATTCCTCTGGACAGCCAACAACAAGGCCTTCCTCTGATGTTGCCTCCTGGCTCTGGGATTCAGAGAATTAGTGCCTCTGAATATGGAGGTTCCCCTCAATCACCATGGCTAGTAGCCATTGATAGATTCATGGAGGATAAATCTAATCCCCTTTTTTAGATTGTTTATTCCTCTGACCATCATTACATCCTCTGGCAGCAAATTCCACATTTTAATAACTCTCTGTGTAAAGTAGTATAATTGTTGACTTTGTGTGGCCACGGAGATGTGCAATGGGGTGAGGAATGAATGAATACTGGTATATAGGGCTGCCAAGACATCCTCAGGGAGCTATACTTCTATATAAGTGATAGCAAGAAAAAGATCATGGTTTGCTTTTTATGGCAGCCAGTGTGTTTTTAGCATGTCAAGTAGGGAGGCCTGGTGTCAACCCTATGAATGATAATACGAGATGATGTTTCTGTGTGTGTTTTAAGTTGAAAATGGTTTCCTGGATACAAAAGAACTCCAGTTGTGATTGTTATTAGATCTGAAACAACTCTCACCCTTCCTTTTCCTATGCAAATTTTAATCCTGAATATCTACTGGCTAATGTATACTTACTCCAACCTGGATATCATCAGATTTCAGAAGTTAAGCAGGGAGGCCCTAGTTAATATTTGGATGGGAGACCACCAAGTAAGTCTAGGGTTGTTGCTGCATAGGGAGGCAATGGCAAATCATCTCTGAACACCTCTTGCCTTAAAAACCCAGTGGGGTCTCCCCCAAAAAAGTGTATATTTGGTGCCCAATGATAATTGATGTCAACTACTGTTTGGTTTGGGTGATTTTTTGCCGTCAGTTTTCTTCTGAAATCAAACAGTTCACTGAGATGCAGTGCAGTCATATTCTTTATCTGACAGCTGTCATGCAGCTGCAATCTATACACAGACCCTCCGCTTCACTAATTAGGAACCCTCACAGTCAAAACTTCCAAATCCCAATTAATTCTTACCAGATTTGATCTTTTGACAACAGTGTCCAGGCTTCTCCTCATCCAGAGCTACAATGTTGTTGTTGTTGTTCAGTCACACAGTCGAATCCAACTATTCGCGACCCCATGGACCACATCATGGCATATTCTTGCTAACTGGAGATCAGTGTAAAAGGCAGAGAGTTGGATTGCCACAGCCTGGTGGTAGTTATAAAAGCCAGATCTGCTAGAGGAACAACGGAAGCCCTCTGGCAAACTTCTGTTGTTGCTCCTCTGAAACCTGCTGAAAATTTTCCATTATTGTTAACAATAACAATTATAAGAGAGTTTATTTTATTTTGAGGAGGGAAAGCTTTGGAGGCGGAGAAGTGAGGGTGGTGCTTTTTGCTCAATGACACTTTCTCATTTTCTGCTGCAGCTCCCGTGCTCTACTGGAAAAGCCAACTATGAGCCCTGGGGAGGGTCCTCTGTAGAGTAGCATGAGTGGCACGCATGGGGGACTGGAACTCTTTGCGGGGAGGGCATTGGTGGAAATCAGACACCTCCCTCATTGTGCAAGTAGTAGGTACTTCTGCTCATGGAGTGAGCTCTCTGGATCCAAGCCATTATCTCTTTGGGTGGTGCACAATTTTCTGGAGGAAGAGATCATACACATGAGAAGCTGTCTTATACTGAATCAGACCATTGGTCCATCAAAGTCAGTATTGTCTACTCAGACTGGCAGTGGCTTTCCAGGGTCTCAGGCAGAGGTCTTTTGCATTACCTACTGCACACCTGGCTTTTCGACAGGAGATGCCGGGGACTGAACCCGGGACCTTTTGCATGCAAAGCAGAGGCTCTTCCACTGAGCCACAGCCACTCCTCAGATCCTAATAATTCAGTTGCGTCCTTGTGAAGATATTTTGTCACGCCTTGAATTCCATCTTCCCTTTTATTCATTCATCCAGGGCAAAGACACTTGGGGGTAAAGAAGACCATGGCTTTCTCCACCTCTGAGGTTGATGAGGCCTTTGACTACTTGTTCAAGATCATTTTGATCGGAGATTCCAACGTCGGGAAGACATGTGTGGTGCATCGTTTCAAGTCAGGGCAATACTATGTGAAGCAGCAGAACACCATTGGAGTGGACTTCACAGTGCGCTCCTTGGAGATTGATGGCAAGAAGGTCAAGGTGAGTGGTGCAGTCTTTGACCAAAAAAGTGCGCTGTCCTTAAACTTCTTGGATGTGCCATGTGGGTGATGGAGATCAGAGATGGCTGTGTTATGAAGGGCAAGGTGAGACGACCATCTCAGGCGCAACCCATTTGAAATTTCCCGGCTCAAGCCCTACTGAAATCATCTGGAAAGTGGTGTTTTTTATTTAATTGATGCTAGTACAAGAGAACTTCCTATAGATTTTGCCCTATGTTAGCTAGTTCTAGGGCACATATTATTCATGGTGAAACTAAAATGTCTTGGATTTGTCCTTGGAGATCTGTCCTGCCAGGGTAAATCTAACTATATTTTGTGTGCAGGGACACAAATAATACAGATGAACAGCTCGTTATCCAAAGTGTCGCTGACATATTAGAGGCCCTGAAGAGGAGCTCTTATGTCCCCTTAGGAAAGGAAACTGGTGTGTCTTCTGTCCAACTGCAGCTGTTCTTTCAAGCTGCTTTGCTCTCCGAAGGCACCAACAGGAGTGTGAGAACTGAGTTCTGCTGCCTCATCCAGGCACAAACACAGCAGCATCAGGAACTAAATCTCCTCCAAGATGATCTCCAAGTGGGAGGAGTACATCAAAGAGCTTAATGGTGACTCTGCTGTCGTGCTTATTTTTATCCCCATGTGGGGTTGCCCACCTCCAGGTGGGGTGTGGAGATCTCTCAGAATCTGAACGGATTTCCAGGCAACAAGGATCATTTCTCCTGGAGAAAATGGCTGCTTCGAAGGGAGGATATGGCATGGGGGAATTTAAGAACATAAGAGAAGCCATGTTGGATCAGACCAATGGCCCATCCAGTCCAACACTCTGTGTCACACAGTGGGCAAAACCCAGGGGACATCGGGAGGTCCACCAGTGGGGCCAGAACTCCAGAAGCCCTCCCACTGTTGCCCTCCAAGCACCAAGAACACAGAACATCACTGCCCCCGACAGAGTGTTATTTCCCAGTGGAGGCAACACAGTGCTGTTCTGTTCCCCTGTGCTGACGTTAGATCATTCTCCCGTTAGAGTATGGGCCAAGCGTTGCCCTTCTGGAGATGCGCAACTGTTAGGGTTGCCAACTCTGGGTTGGGAAATTCCTGGAGGTTTGGAGGTGGAGGCTGGGGAGGGACCGCAGCAGAGTCTAATGCCAAAGAGTAGCCATTTTTACAGGGAAAATCATCTCTTTAGTGTGGAGATCTCCAGGCCTCACCACCTGGAGGTTGTCAACCCTACCAACTGCATTGTTTGGCTCTTGACTGCTGCTAGTCTGGTGAACTGCTGTCTCTCCCAGAGTACAACATTTCTAGGTATAGTTTCCAATACACTCTAACCACTGGAATACTCTCATCTTTATCCAGCCTTTCCTCTCCCATGCCTGGCCAGTTAGTTTGATAAAATGGGGGAGGTTTAAGCCCCTTCTCTCCACCCACCATAGTCCTCATCCAAATTGCGCTTGTGCATATCTTGGAAACATGAAACTTCCAAACACACCTGTCCACGTGGACAGGGAAAGTCCCTGGGGGGAAATGTGGCATGTAGCCAGGATGTCACCTGTTTGTTCTTCCCTTTTCCCCTCTCCTAAAAGGGCGCATAGATCCAGATTTTGGCAGTTTACCAATATAGTTGACTTAGTAACTGGTTACAGATTCTCTAATATATTGAAGTCAGGCTGTAAGCATGGTGGAGATTTATGACTGAAATACTTAAGATCTGCAAGTTGCATCTGTTCTAGATTAGTTGTGGGGTTAAGGGTGGTCAGCAGGACGACTCTCGTGGTACTACATCCTATAGCTGTAGAGCTGTAGAGTCAAATACTGTTCTATAAAAATGTGAATGAACTCTTTAAGGTACAGTGGAGGGGGATGTGAAATGCTAGAATAACCAATATGTGAAAGGAATGGCAGACAGATTTGTATGTGACTCAGCTCAAGAACCTTGTAGACGAGTTTTACAGAAAAGGAAATTACAGAGGTGAGCAGTTGCCAGTAAATCAAGTGAGAACTGTGCACAGATTTGTTCCAGGTGCATTAAAACAATTGTGCAGAGTGTTGCTGTGTATATTTATTACTCATTGTGAAATGTCATGCATGCTGCTTCCTAATAAAGGGCTCCCAACAACCAGAGTTTGGGCAATGGAAAACTCATGGAGTATTAAACAACATGCCAATTATCAATAGTGTTGCATGTGGCCTCTTTTATATTGGCTGTTTGTTGAACTCTTGCTCTGAATTTTGATATAGTTTGGCTTTTTAATTATAAAAGGTTGCAAACCGTTGCACTCAATACTGTATTGCAGCTTGCCACTTTTTTAAAAAAAACTTTCCCTCTTTCTGGCCATCTTAGATTTGCTTGTCTGATAGTTAGAACTTGGCTGTCTCATTGATTTGTGTTTCCCACCACTCTCCCTTTCAGATCCAGGTGTGGGACACAGCAGGCCAAGAACGCTTCCGCACAATCACCCAGAGTTATTACCGCAGTGCCCATGGTGCTATTCTTGCCTATGATATGACAAGGAGGTCCACTTTTGAGTCTATCCCTCACTGGATTCATGAGATTGAAAAGTATGGTGCAGCTAACTTGGTCTTGATGTTGATAGGTAAGTGGTCAGCTTAGTCACCTTGCTGCAGGAGTTTCCTCCTTCCTACATCATCTTGATCCTTGGTTTTTGTGGTGATTTCTTGCTTTGCCTGTAATATTGGACAGCCCTTGTTTTCTGAAGTAGGGTAAACCAAACTTAAAGAAGGAAGAATTACTGGGACAGACTTAAGAGGGGCTTGCTACCCCACTTCTTGGGGTAGGTTCAGCTTATTCACATTAAACTGAAGTTCTAAATACACATTAGAAAACCCTGCAGAGTTCAACGGGATTCCATTCTAACCTGTTTTGGTTGGCTCGTTTCCATAGCTTTCAGAATTTGAACCATCCAGTTAATTTTGGCTTTCTAGAGAAAAATTGCCCTGAGTCCTGGACAGTCTGTCACATCTCAAAAGCTCAGCAGGATTGGCCCTGGTCAGTATTTGGAAGGAAGTCCAGGGTCGCTATTCAGAGGCAGGCAATGGCAAACCACCTCTGAACATCTCTTGCTTTGAAAACCCTACAGGGGTCACCATAAGTCGGCTGCAACTTGACGGTAAAAAAGGGGGAAATTCCAAGTAGTAAAGTATTTTGTTTGTAAACCATGGAACTTCTGTAAAGCTGGAGAGCAAAGGCTACATTGCTGTGAATTAATGTCACATGGTTATACTAAATCCTCTTTTGTTTTTTCAGGGAATAAGTCAGATGAAACAGAGAAGCGCCAAGTCCTGTTTGAAGACGCTTGCACACTGGCTGAGAAGCATGGTCTACTGGCTGTCTTAGAGACCTCAGCCAAAGAGGCCCAAAATGTTGATGAGGTCTTCATATTAATGGCTAAAGAGCTCATGGCTAGAAATGCCTTGCAGCTAAGTGGGGAGAATGGTCCCGCAGGCAGCATTTATCTGGACACCAGGCCAGTGATGACCACTCAGCTTGACAAGTCTGACTGCTCATGTTGATGAGAAGCTTCAAGAAGAAGCACTTCTGGTGGTCCATATTATTTGAGTTTCCTGTCTAGCCTTGGCTTGTGGCCCTAATTCAGCCATACAGTGCTGACCTGTTCTCCAGAGGTAGATGCCACTCCTTATTGCCATGGTCAAAGCAGGTTGTGGAGGTCAAAACTGGTGGTGCTACCCTGCAACGAAGGAAAGGGTCTTCTGGAAGCCACTAGCTTACCAGGAAAGAACTGTGAAGAACTTTAACAAGAGCGGGGCATCATTTAACATAGCCATAAAAAGATGGCAGCCTGTTGAGTTGATCTGAATTTTCGGTGGTAGCTGTGAGAAAGCAGTGTGGCCACTTGTCTACTCTAGCATCTTGGTTTTTGTACATGTATAGCTCAGAGCTGCATACTTGCACTGCTATCACTCAGTTGACTCCTAAAAAGTCTAGTAATTTCATTGTAGTCTAGTAAATCTGATTGATCTGCCAGTTTCCTCTGATTGCCCCACAATGCAATGATTTACTATTTTTGTGGAGCAATTTCTTCACAAATAACTGTTGGATGTGACTAGCTCCTTTCTGCCACTTGGCACTATAAATAATTCAGTCTCTTTACTTAGAAGTGATTTAGTTTTGAACATAAAGAATTGCTAAAACTGTATCAGTTCCCTGTCCCTTGTTTTGCTAATGTTAAACTTCAAAGTTATTGCATCTGTGTTTTTTCCTTATCTATGTACAAAAACTACTTGGAACTTGTTCAGCATGTTGGATAAGGATTGATCAACACTGGTTTTTGAAAACAATCCCTCACAGAATGAATTGCAGCTACCAGGCTTCTTTGCAACAGCTACGCAGTAAACTATTTTTCTGCCCACCAAGTGGTGACTAATGCCGTTGCTAAATTCTGTTAGATTCAGTTGCAGTAAGTGGGTGTATGAAAGTTTCTTCTCCTGTTCTCTTTTGAAATGGCTTGAAGTGGACGCACAACATGTGGATTTCCTTTAGGAGTGGTGGCTGGTAGAGTTTGATTCTGTAACCTTTTCTCATTTTGCTTAATGAGAAGACTACATAAGGGGCCGATCTTGGTCTGATCTGTTCTAATGATCAGATGGCCAAGGAAATCAGATATGTCATTTCTAGATGTTTTTTCGGGAGGGTTGTATCTTACAATCTTATGTCAAAGCAAAAGGGAAAGGTCGCTTTTGATCAAGAAGAAAAGGGATCTTGATTCTTCCGTGGGGGAGGGGCAGTTGTCCTCAAAACCCAGGACTGCGCTGCATTGGAATGTAGTCCTTTTTACATTGCCCGTCCCTAAAAAGGAATTCGTTACCCATAAAGACTCTCTAAGTGGTATCTAACTCCTACAACAGGCACACATTAACGCACACTATAACAATGGTTACATTAAAAGGGGGAAAATTCTACTTTTACTATAGCTGAAGTTGGGGTAGAAGGGCTAATCATAGCATATGGAGGAACCACTGATCGCACGAATGTGTGTGGTTAGTAATTGTATGTCCCTTATAGCTATAAACTGTAATTGCCAGGTCATCACTATGGTGAACAAAGGAGCAGCTGTGTTTATACTGGGTCTGTCCTTCTTTAAAAAACACATAAAGGCATGATAGAGTACTGTTTTGCTATTTGATTATCCTTAGTACACTTTAATATTAAATCTTTATTGGGAATAATATGATGGCACTTTGAACTAATTAATGAATGAACTAAAATTCTGGCACGGCCTTTAGGGTGAGGCCTGGTCCCTGTAACTTTGCCATATGGGGTGGGGGGGCATACAGTGGGCTATCCACCATGCCCTGGGCTGAGCATGTAGAAGCCTCTAATCCCTCCTTGAGCCCCACCAGTGAGATACTATGCACATGGGAGAAAGGTCAAGGACTTTTTGTGATCTATTGCCATCATGCATCAGTGGGATGTAATGGCTCTGGTGTCTGGCCACAAGTGAGAAGACAGTGGTTCAAACCCCCTCACTGGGTGACCTTGGGCTATTCACTCCTCAGCTTAGTATACAACAGAGGATTGTTGGGAGAGTAAAAATTGAGAGGAGGATCATGTAAGCTACTATGGGGCCTTGAAAGAGGAATAGGGTAGAACTGGAGTATAAGTACTAGCACATTCTGGTGTGTCCTCCTTCAAGTCTGGGCAAATTTCCCAACATAGAAAATTCATTTTGCTTCACTTGTCAATATTTTTTCTCTCTTGTTTCACTTATGAACAAGTGTTGCCAATTGTCACACTGCTCCCTGAACATAATCTTACGGAGGCTGTTGCGTACCAATAAGCAAGAATAAAGATGGCTTTAACTTCTTCCACAACCGAATCTTTGGCATCAATATTCTTTCCATTCCTCTGTTTACATCCACAGGATTAGACCCTTTGTTAGTACTGAAGTTGTAATTATAGATTAGAACTTGCCTCAGCTATTATCAGCTGACGAGGTTCAGGCTCTTTTACCAAAGGATGATGGGCATATGAAAAATGGCCATGGCCACTCAAGTAAATCCATGAACCAAAGCCCAGTAGCCAGTTTAAAGAGATTCAATCACTACTATCTACAGAATCTAAAATGTCATTAAAGAAAATGCTAGAGGAGGGGGGCTAGAACACATGCAGCTGCTTTTCATATCGTCCCTAACTTCAGTTCCCTGAATAAAAGGTCTGTCATAGTATTGCCCACCATGTATTGTTCTAGTTTCCTTTCTTCATTGGATGCTCGATCAGCAGTCTAAAATCACACTCTGGTTACAAAGTCATTAGCAAGACAGTACATGCTCTGTCTTACCTGAAACCATCTGGAGGCTTGAAAGTGTTTGCCTCCAAGACCTCCCAATGTTTTTTTATGGGTGGAGAGGCACATAACCACAATATAATAAGGCTTGTGGCATGGCAGTATTGCTTTCAGTTCTGATGGATCCACCCCTTCTGCAAACTGAGCAAGTTCACTGAAAAGTTAGATGATGCCTTCCCACTCCCCAACACGGCCCACAGAAAGCCAGTCTTGAGGGTTGATGGACAAGATACTGGGTGTGGACTACAGCAAGGGAAATTGTAGAAAGCTCTGAAACTGGACTGATGTATTTATGACCTGCAGTGGGGGTCAATTTTTGCCTGTTTCCCCCTTCTTGCTGCAGTCTGCACCAGTGCCACCCCTGGAGCTTTTTCCAAAGCCAGAGAGGGCGGCAAAACCCCCCTTCATAAACCAGCTCCATTAGCCTTGTGTCATGATCAGTGTAGGCCTGGGAGAAAGGCCTAGAGGCCTGTGTGGGAGTGGAGAGCAGATAGCCTACAACCCCCACAATGCTTAGCAACAGTTGTAGCCAATCAGTGTACAGAGATTGTGTGAGGGAATGGAACTTAAGCTTTCTGAACCGTGAAACTGTTCTTTCTCTTCTGCAGTCTTGTCTCTCACAGAGCTAAATTGAGGGAACAGTCTGGTCTGAGGAAAAGATCCCTCACTTGGGACAGAGTGAGTACAGGCAGGATGCCTGGTATAAGAGGGCTGTGGGCCTTGAAACAGTAACTAGTTAAGTGAAATAGGTAGTCACATTAGATTTGATTATTTTGCCTTTAAACACTGTTATATATATATTAAGCACCTTGTCTTGTTTTCAGTGCCCCATTACTGTGTTAATAAACCATTTGTTTGTTCTCTGCCTGGTCATCACGCCTATGTTCTTGGCTTAAAAAGGGGCATTTTGGATGGGCTTGGGAGGGTACTCTGGGCCTTCTCAAGGGACCCAAAGTCCAGAGTGGTGGCAGCTGAAGGTGGCGACCTACAGGGGGTCATGACACCTTGGATCCATCCATGGTCCATACTGTGTGTTGAGGATGGAACTGCCAATTTCTGTTTGAGAATCTTACTGTTCCAATTTGGAGCATTACGTGTGCCTTCCAGAAGCCAAGACAACTCAGTCAGCATCCTCTGATTTGAGACACTTAGTCGCACTCCTGGCAGAGGCCAATGATCATGGACTGAAATTTGTTTAATCCAGCAGAACTGACTTTTCATGCATGAGCAGACCAAATTTTTTTTAAAAGCAAGCAATTAAAAGGATCAGGTCCTCCTAAAACTAAGCCAAAACAGAAAAGGAAGTCTTAATTAGTAAGCAGAGATGGGGAGAGAAACCAGCACTCGCGCGTGAACAAGTGAAGAGAATGTTCTCACAGGTATAATGAGCACATCAAAAGAAGTGACTAGGAAGGTATTCACCTCTTCCTTTGAGACATGCAGAAAATAAAAATTCTTTGGCGGCAGGGGGTGGTGGTTTCAGCACCAACTCCAGCAAAAGCTCTAGAACGTTCCAAAGCTGCTTCTGCACAGACACAGAAACCATCCATGGGACGGTAGAGAGATCACAGGGAGAAGATTCCTCATTCTATAGAATAAGGAACAGAGTATAAATTTTGAACTGTGACATGATTTAAAAAAACAGATTCTGTTGCCTTCTGAATAACAACGGACACAATCCAAGTGCCTCAAACAATAGGGCTGGTACCTGGATTGCTGCAGAGGACAGGAAATGGTATTTCCAGAAGTCAGATAAGAAACTTTAAGTGTGTGTGTGTGGGGAGAGGGGAAAGAGATGCATTCTGTGTTGAAAGTACACAGATTACTATAAGAAAATACAGGTACAGAAGTTTCAAAATGTAAATACCAATGTGCTTTTTAATCATTTTTTATTTGGGAAAAGTGCTTCTTACAAAAGGCAGCTGCAAAGTAACACAGACTTCAGCAATAATTTCTGATTCCATTTAAAAGTGAAAGGAGACACAATCTAAAGGGGACAGAAGCAGCGGAAGAACAGATCAAGGAAATCCAGCAGCATTAGATGTAATGGAAGGTTAAAATTCCATTGGAGGATTAGGGAAGGAGAGGAATTTGGTAGCATCTGCAGCTCTTCCTAACAGAACTAGAGCCTGGCTATTGAATGGCTCTTTGGTTCTACAGGTAAAGTAGCATGCATACTGAACAGCCCCACCTGCCCATATCAGAAGTTCTGTGAGGCATCTGAGCCCCTTTTTAAAATTGGGATGCAGAAGTGACTGCCTAGATAAAAAGTTTGCTCAACTATGATAGTCTGCAACATTGCAAAAACTGATGCAAAGAGATTCCAACATGGTGACAATTTACTGGACAACTGCTAGGTCAAAACCCTCTTTGGCTAACCAT